TGCCTCATCCATGCTTGTATACTGATAATGTTGATAATACAACACTCACTCACATTCCTTCTGTGTGGATGGATAGAGCCGGTCATCCCCTGCCTCATCCATGCTTGTATACTGATAATGTTGATAAAACAACACTCACTCACATTCCTTCTGTGTGGATGGATAGAGCCGGTCATCCCCTGCCTCATCCATGCTTGTATACTGATAATGTTGATAATACAACACTCACTCACATTCCCCCTGTGTGGATGGATAGAGCCGGTCATCCCCTGCCTCATCCATGCTTGTATACTGATAATGTTGATAAAACAACACTCACTCACATTCCTTCTGTGTGGATGGATAGAGCCGGTCATCCCCTGCCTCATCCATGCTTGTATACTGATAATGTTGATAATACAACACTCACTCACATTCCTTCTGTGTGGATGGATAGAGCCGGTCATCCCCTGCCTCATCCATGCTTGTATGCTGATAATGTTGATAAAACAACACTCACTCACATTCCCCCTGTGTGGATGGATAGAGCCGGTCATCCCCTGCCTCATCCATGCTTGTATACTGATAATGTTGATAAAACAACACTCACTCACATTCCCCCTGTGTGGATGGATAGAGCCGGTCATCCCCTGCCTCATCCATGCTTGTATACTGATAATGTTGATAATACAACACTCACTCACATTCCTTCTGTGTGGATGGATAGAGCCGGTCATCCCCTGCCTCATCCATGCTTGTATACTGATAATGTTGATAATACAACACTCACTCACATTCCCCCTGTGTGGATGGATAGAGCCGGTCATCCCCTGCCTCATCCATGCTTGTATACTGATAATGTTGATAAAACAACACTCACTCACATTCCTTCTGTGTGGATGGATAGAGCCGGTCATCCGCTGCCTCATCCATGCTTGTATACTGATAATGTTGATAATACAACACTCACTCACATTCCTTCTGTGTGGATGGATAGAGCCGGTCATCCCCTGCCTCATCCATGCTTGTATACCGATAATGTTGATAAAACAACACTCACTCACATTCCTTCTGTGTGGATGGATAGAACCGGTCATCCCCTGCCTCATCCATGCTTGTATACTGATAATGTTGATAATACAACACTCACTCACATTCCTTCTGTGTGGATGGATAGAGCCGGTCATCCCCTGCCTCATCCATGCTTGTATACTGATAATGTTGATAAAACAACACTCACTCACATTCCTTCTGTGTGGATGGATAGAGCCGGTCATCCCCTGCCTCATCCATGCTTGTATACTGATAATGTTGATAATACAACACTCACTCACATTCCTTCTGTGTAGATGGATAGAGCCGGTCATCCCCTGCCTCATCCATGCTTGTATACCGATAATGTTGATAAAACAACACTCACTCACATTCCTTCTGTGTGGATGGATAGAGCCGGTCATCCCCTGCCTCATCCATGCTTGTATACCGATAATGTTGATAAAACAACACTCACTCACATTCCTTCTGTGTGGATGGATAGAGCCGGTCATCCCCTGCCTGAACCATGCTTGTATACTGATAATGTTGATAAAACAACACTCACTCACATTCCCCCTGTGTGGATGGATAGAGCTGGTCATCCCCTGCCTCATCCATGCTTGTATACTGATAATGTTGATAAAACAACACTCACTCACATTCCTTCTGTGTGGATGGATAGAGCCGGTCATCCCCTGCCTCATCCATGCTTGTATACTGATAATGTTGATAAAACAACACTCACTCACATTCCCCCTGTGTGGATGGATAGAGCCGGTCATCCCCTCCCTCATCCATGTGTGTATACTGATAATGTTGATAAAACAACACTCACTCACATTCCCCCTGTGTGGATGGATAGAGCCGGTCATCCCCTGCCTGATCCATGCTTGTATACTGATGATGTTAATAATATAACACTCACTCATATTCCTTCTGTGTGGATGGATAGAGCCGGTCATCCCCTGCCTCATCCATGTGTGTATACTGATAATGTTGATAAAACAACACTCACTCACATTCCCCCTGTGTGGATGGATAGAGCCGGTCATCCCCTGCCTCATCCATGTGTGTATACTGATAATGTTGATAAAACAACACTCACTCACATTCCTTCTGTGTGGATGGATAGAGCCGGTCATCCCCTGCCTCATCCATGCTTGTATACTGATAATGTTGATAAAACAACACTCACTCACATTCCCCCTGTGTGGATGGATAGAGCCGGTCATCCCCTGCCTCATCCATGCTTGTATACTGATAATGTTGATAAAACAACACTCACTCACATTCCTTCTGTGTGGATGGATAGAGCCGGTCATCCCCTGCCTGAACCATGCTTGTATACTGATAATGTTGATAAAACAACACTCACTCACATTCCTTCTGTGTGGATGGATAGAGCCGGTCATCCCCTGCCTGAACCATGCTTGTATACTGATAATGTTGATAAAACAACACTCACTCACATTCCTTCTGTGTGGATGGATAGAGCCGGTCATCCCCTGCCTCATCCATGCTTGTATACTGATAATGTTGATAATACAACACTCACTCACATTCCCCCTGTGTGGATGGATAGAGCCGGTCATCCCCTGCCTCATCCATGCTTGTATACTGCTAATGTTGATAAAACAACACTCACTCACATTCCTTCTGTGTGGATGGATAGAGCCGGTCATCCCCTGCCTCATCCATGCTTGTATACTGATAATGTTGATAAAACAACACTCACTCACATTCCCCCTGTGTGGATGGATAGAGCCGGTCATCCCCTGCCTCATCTATGCTTGTATACTGATAATGTTGATAAAACAACACTCACTCACATTCCCCCTGTGTGGATGGATAGAGCCGGTCATCCCCTGCCTCATCTATGCTTGTATACTGATAATGTTGATAAAACAACACTCACTCACATTCCCCCTGTGTGGATGGATAGAGCCGGTCATCCCCTGCCTCATCCATGCTTGTATACTGATAATGTTGATAAAACAACACTCACTCACATTCCCCCTGTGTGGATGGATAGAGCCGGTCATCCCCTGCCTCATCCATGCTTGTATACTGATAATGTTGATAATACAACACTCACTCACATTCCTTCTGTGTGGATGGATAGAGCCGGTCATCCCCTGCCTCATCCATGCTTGTATACTGATAATGTTGATAATACAACACTCACTCACATTCCTTCTGTGTGGATGGATAGAGCCGGTCATCCCCTGCCTCATCCATGCTTGTATACTGATAATGTTGATAAAACAACACTCACTCACATTCCCCCTGTGTGGATGGATAGAGCCGGTCATCCCCTGCCTCATCCATGTGTGTATACTGATAATGTTAATAAAACAACACTCACTCACATTGCCCCTGTGTGGATGGATAGAGCCGGTCATCCCCTGCCTCCTCCATGCTTGTATAGTGATAATGTTGATAAAACAACACTCACTCACATTCCTCCTGTGTGGATGGATAGAGCCGGTCATCCCCTGCCTGAACCATGCTTGTATGCTGATAATGTTGATAAAACAACACTCACTCACATTCCTTCTGTGTGGATGGATAGAGCCGGTCATCCCCTGCCTCATCCATGCTTGTATACTGATAATGTTAATAAAACAACACTCACTCACATTCCCCCTGTGTGGATGGATAGAGCTGGTCATCCCCTGCCTCATCCATGCTTGTATACTGATAATGTTGATAAAACAACACTCACTCACATTCCCCCTGTGTGGATGGATAGAGCCGGTCATCCCCTGCCTCATTCATGCTTGTATACTGATAATGTTGATAAAACAACACTCACTCACATTCCCCCTGTGTGGATGGATAGAGCTGGTCATCCCCTGCCTCATCCATGCTTGTATACTGATAATGTTGATAAAACAACACTCACTCACATTCCTTCTGTGTAGATGGATAGAGCCGGTCATCCCCTGCCTCATCCATGCTTGTATACCGATAATGTTGATAAAACAACACTCACTCACATTCCTTCTGTGTGGATGGATAGAGCCGGTCATCCCCTGCCTGAACCATGCTTGTATGCTGATAATGTTGATAAAACAACACTCACTCACATTCCTCCTGTGTGGATGGATAGAGCCGGTCATCCCCTGCCTCATCCATGCTTGTATACTGATAATGTTGATAAAACAACACTCACTCACATTCCCCCTGTGTGGATGGATAGAGCCGGTCATCCCCTGCCTCATCCATGCTTGTATACTGATAATGTTGATAAAACAACACTCACTCACATTCCTTCTGTGTGGATGGATAGAGCCGGTCATCCCCTGCCTCATCCATGCTTGTATACTGATAATGTTGATAAAACAACACTCACTCACATTCCTTCTGTGTGGATGGATAGAGCTGGTCATCCCCTGCCTCATCCATGCTTGTATACTGATAATGTTGATAAAACAACACTCACTCACATTCCCCCTGTGTGGATGGATAGAGCCGGTCATCCCCTGCCTCATCCATGCTTGTATACTGATAATGTTGATAAAACAACACTCACTCACATTCCTCCTGTGTGGATGGATAGAGCTGGTCATCCCCTGCCTCATCCATGCTTGTATACTGATAATGTTGATAAAACAACACTCACTCACATTCCCCCTGTGTGGATGGATAGAGCCGGTCATCCCCTGCCTCATTCATGCTTGTATACTGATAATGTTGATAAAACAACACTCACTCACATTCCCCCTGTGTAGATGGATAGAGCCGGTCATCCCCTGCCTCATCCATGCTTGTATACTGATAATGTTGATAAAACAACACTCACTCACATTCCTTCTGTGTGGATGGATAGAGCCGGTCATCCCCTGCCTCATCCATGCTTGTATACTGATAATGTTGATAAAACAACACTCACTCACATTCCTTCTGTGTGGATGGATAGAGCCGGTTGTCCCTGCCTGAACCATATGTGACCTGCCTATTTATCAACTGTGTTCTGCCCCCAGATCTTCTACATGCCGATGGCGCTGTGCGTGCCGCCCTCCATCTTCTGTGTCCACAACCAGTTCAACCTCCTCTACCAATTCTGGATACACACAGAGGTAACTCCTGGAAAGTTTGCTTGTATTATTCCACATTGTGCCAGGTTTCGTTACCATGGTTACTTTTTAGGAAAGTCTGTTTGTGTTTATCCCCCTTTGTGGCAGGTTTTGTTACCATGGTTACTTTCGGAAAGTCAGTTTGTGTTATTCCACCTTTGTGTGAGTTTTGTTACCATGGTTAATTTAGGAAAGTCAGTTTGTGTTACTCCCCCTTTGTGTGGGTTTTGTTACCATGGTTAATTTAGGAAAGTTTGTTTGTGTTATTCCACCTTTGTGTGAGTTTTGTTACCTTGGTTATTTTAGGAAAGTCAGTTTGTGTTATTCCACCTTTGTGTGGGTTTTGTTACCATGGTTAATTTAGGAATGTCTGTTTGTGTTATTCCACCTTTGTGTGAGTTTTGTTACCATGGTTAATTTAGGAACGTCTGTTTGTGTTATTCCACCTTTGTGTGAGTTTTTTTACCTTGGTTATTTTAGGAAAGTCTGTTTGTGTTATTCCACCTTTGTGAGAGTTTTGTTACCATGGTTAATTTAGGAACGTTTGTTTGTGTTTATCCACCTTTGTAGCAGGTTTTGTTACCATGGTTACTTTCGGAAAGTCAGTTTGTGTTTTTCCACCTTTGTGTGAGTTTTGTTACCATGGTTAATTTAGGAAAGTCTGTTTGTGTTATTCCCCCTTTGTGTGGGTTTTGTTACCATGGTTAATTTAGGAAAGTTTGTTTGTGTTATTCCACCTTTGTGTGAGTTTTGTTACCTTGGTTATTTTAGGAAAGTCAGTTTGTGTTATTCCACCTTTGTGTGGGTTTTGTTACCATGGTTAATTTAGGAAAGTTTGTTTGTGTTATTCCACCTTTGTGTGGGTTTTGTTACCATGGTTAATTTAGGAAAGTCTGTTTGTGTTATTCCACCTTTGTGTGAGGTTTGTTACCATGGTTAATTTAGGAAAGTTTGTTTGTGTTACTCCACCTTTGTGTGAGTTTTGTTACCATGGTTAATTTAGGAAAGTTTGTTTGTGTTATTCCACCTTTGTGTGAGTTTTGTTACCATGGTTAATTTAGGAAAGTCAGTTTGTGTTATTCCACCTTTGTGTGAGTTTTGTTACCATGGTTAATTTAGGAACATCTGTTTGTGTTATTCCACCTTTGTGTGAGTTTTGTTACCATGGTTAATTTAGGAAAGTCAGTTTGTGTTATTCCACCTTTGTGTGAGTTTTGTTACCATGGTTAATTTAAGAACGTCTGTTTGTGTTATTCCATCTTTATGTGAGTTTTGTTACCATGGTTAATTTAGGAAAGTCTGTTTGTGTTATTCCATCTTTATGTGAGTTTTGTTACCATGGTTAATTTAGGAAAGTCTGTTTGTGTTATTCCACCTTTGTGTGAGTTTTGTTACCATGGTTAATTTAGGAAAGTTTGTTTGTGTTATTCCACCTTTGTGTGAGTTTTGTTACCATGGTTAATTTAGGAAAGTCAGTTTGTGTTATTCCACCTTTGTGTGAGTTTTGTTACCATGGTTAATTTAGGAACGTCTGTTTGTGTTATTCCACCTTTGTGTGAGTTTTGTTACCATAGTTAATTTAGGAAAGTTTGTTTGTATTATTCCACCATTGGAGGAATCAGTCTGTTTAGATTCATGTTGGTGTCAGACACTGACCTTTAATCGGTTTGTGTTTTGGGTTATCTTGAACTGGTTAGTGAGAAATAGAAATACAGAAAATATAGGGAATTCTAGGTGAAGTATGGTGTATTGCAAGGCTCAACTGAGCTATATCTAATATGCACCAGTGCAGCCTTTTATTGTAAAATGCAACTTAATATTTGTGTTTACCTACACCGAGTGCATGTAAAAAAATAATTCAAATGTGTGTCAGACTAACCCTTACTTGTCCAGACACAAAATCAATCTATGAACACACTTTATAGGACCAGGGTGCAACCTGGTTTTGTTTGCTGAAACTCGGTTTTCATGTCAACATGCACCTGATGCAAATTAAGTCAAGTTCCTAAAAATGAGGGCTTTATTGTCAATGTATGAACCATTGCTTAAGCCCAGACAGGCTATGTTATGTCTCAGGGAATCGAGGGCTCTATTGTCAATGTATGAACCATTGCTTAAGCCCAGACAGGCTATGTTATGTCTCAGGGAATCGAGGGCTCTATTGTCAATGTATGAACCATGGCTTAAGCCCAGACAGGCTATGTTATGTCTCAGGGAATCGAGGGCTCTATTGTCAATGTATGAACCATGGCTTAAGCCCAGACAGGCTATGTTATGTCTCAGGGAATCGAGGGCTCTATTGTCAATGTATGAACCATGGCTTAAGCCCAGACAGGCTATGTTATGTCTCAGGGAATCGAGGGCTCTATTGTCAATGTATGAACCATGGCTTAAGCCCAGACAGGCTATGTTATGTCTCAGGGAATCGAGGGCTTTATTGTCAATGTATGAACCATGGCCTAAGCCCAGACACGCTATGTTATGTCTCAGGGAATTCTAAAATCAGTGTTTGACAATTACCAAAATTTGTCAGTGGTCCAAAAGACCAGCACCTAGAAAAATCTACAGGTCCTGTTGGATCTGTACTGGACATGGTGCCACCAAAAAAGGATTTAGATGGCAGATACTTTATCATGTTTGTACAACAAGTGAACTTGTGTAAGGGAAGCCCGTCAAGAAGGTACCCACTGTACCACACAGGGTTGTTTGGGTGGCTGGTTTTGCTCTGAGTTTAGAGTCGATCTATTGTTGATTTCAAAAGTCATACAATCTTACATTACTCAATATAAAACCAGACCACTGGACAAGCATTTATCTTATTATACTGGTCCTTAAATAAATATACTCCTCTAGACTTCGACGAACGCTGTCTAAGATGCTCTGCCGAAACATCAAAGACTCTAATAATACTTTATCCTGTGATAAAGTACACTTTGTGAGTTTTGTCATAATGGGCTCATGTCATGACTTTGTTCAAATTACCTCCCCTGTGATATAACATATCCATGGTAATATGATTCTTTCATTACTGTGAAGCAAGATGGCGCATCCCCATCAGTTATATTGATCTGTGAAATAGTGTCTTTAAACTTGTTGTTTAATTGAATGTTATTACCAAAAAGTGAACAAATAGTGCAAGATGATGTCAACATGCAAGTATCCACATGCTTTAGCAATAATAGTTCAGGGCAAAACTATATAGTTTACACTACACATAGGGGTAGAGCAAACTTCATTTTTTAAATTACTGAACTGCCAGCTTTTCTTGTAAAATATATGTCTTTTTGAGGCACACAACATTTTATAAATTGGATGAAATATCACCAAGGCATGGTTTGATATTGTTACAGTTTGTTGGTAGTTACAGTTTGATATTGTTGCAGTTTGTTGGTAGTTACAGTTTGATATTGTTGCAGTTTGTTGGTAGTTACAGTTTGATATTGTTACAGTCTGTTGGTAGTTACAGTTTGATATTGTTGCAGTTTGTTGGTAGTTACAGTTTGATATTGTTGCAGTTTGTTGGTAGTTACAGTTTGATATTGTTGCAGTTTGTTGGTAGTAACAGTTTGATATTGTTACAGTTTGTTGGTAGTTACAGTTTGATATTGTTGCAGTTTGTTGGCAGTTACAGTTTGATATTGTTGCAGTTTGTTGGTAGTTACAGCTGGATATTGTTGCAGTTTGTTGGTAGTTACAGTTTGATATTGTTGCAGTTTGTTGGCAGTTACAGTTTGATATTGTTGCAGTTTGTTGGCAGTTACAGTTTGATATTGTTGCAGTTTGTTGTTAGTTACAGTTTGATATTGTTACAGTTTGTTGGTAGTTACAGTTTGATATTGTTGCAGTTTGTTGTTAGTTACAGTTTGATATTGTTACAGTTTGTTGGTAGTTACAGTTTGATATTGTTGCAGTTTGTTGGCAGTTACAGTTTGATATTGTTGCAGTTTGTTGGTAGTTACAGTTTGTTATTGTTGGAGTTTGTTGGTAGTTACAGTTTGATATTGTTGCAGTTTGTTGGTAGTTACAGTTTGATATTGTTGCAGTTGGTAGTTACAGTTTGATATTGTTGCAGTTTGTTGGCAGTTACAGTTGATATTGTTGCAGTTTGTTGGTAGTTACAGCTGGATATTGTTGCAGTTTGTTGGTAGTTACAGTTTGATATTGTTGCAGTTTGTTGGCAGTTACAGTTTGATATTGTTGCAGTTTGTTGGTAGTTTCAGTTTGATATTGTTGCAGTTTGTTGGTAGTTACAGTTTGATATTGTTGGAGTTTGTTGGTAGTTACAGTTTGATATTGTTGGAATTTGTTGGTAGTTACAGTTTGATATTGTTGCAGTTTGTTGGTAGTTACAGTTTGATATTGTTGCAGTTTGTTGGTAGTTACAGTTTGATATTTGTGCAGTTTGTTGGCAGTTACAGTTTGATATTGTTACCGTGATATATTGTTACACTCATATGATCTGTGCATGAAAAGATGTTTTCTATATTGTTTGTTTAACATCATGTTTGTTTGTCCAGACAATAGAGAAGCTCGGCCCCCTGGAATACATCATCAACACTCCCAGCCACCACCGTGTACACCATGGCCGCAACCCCTACTGCATCGACAAGAACTACGGTGGCACTCTCATCGTGTGGGACCTTCTGTTTGGTGAGGAAGCACTTGTTAGTGATAACGTGTTCCAGGATTTTACCTTGACTTACAAAAGTGAGGGTGCAGAGGATCCTCAATAATTAATGTTTTACCTTACCTGATGCTGCATAGTGCTTTTAATAGCTTCCCTACCTTATACAAACAGTTGTACCAGACTATAGCCTGTGCCCCGATACCCCTGAGTTATCTGCCTTGGCCGGAACTCCATCGTATTCTTCTCTGTCAGCCTTACGACAGACATGTAATTTGAAACAGTCATCTTACCTTAGATTTTCATTAGATTTTGATGTTTTCTGGTGGTGCTTCATCCATATTCCTTTCCCTGATATATATATCCTCTTGTCAGAGGTATGTTTCTTGTTTAATTCAATTTTTCTGATGACCGTGTAACTTGATCGCCATATTGCTTTGAGTGTTAATGTCATTTTGCTTTAGTCTCATAAAGTTTTGGTGAATTTCTCATTTATTATATTCTTAAGTGTGAAAGACTGAATTTTTCCGAATTTGAGAAAAGTGATATTTTCATTGCAGTGAACATAACAATTTGACGGAACTATTATCATACAAGAGCAGCCTCCCCTCAAACTGTCTCCATTTATCATAAGTGTCTGGCCCATACACAAACTGTTGACTTCCTTTTTACGTTAGTTCCATATTGACAAGGTAAAATAATGACAGATGGTCATTTATGGAGTTAATATCGCTTTTGCCGTGTGTTGTTCTCTCAAAAATGTTTCGTTGTAAACTGTAAATTTCTCACTTAACTCGTCAATCGAGACTGTTTCGCAAAGCGGCATTTCTGTAACTTGATCAGCATCTATGCTTTTGCTTTCAACAGTGGTTTCGTAGTTTTCAAGTATAGTTTTTGTTAAAGTGATTTTGTGTATAATCATATGTATATATGATACAGAATTTTTATGACCCAAAATATTTTTTGTTACTGTTGTTTATATTTTTTAAAGATTTTGCAAACATGAAACTACTTTTTTGGCTGCAAATACAAGTGTATTGTTCTGTGAGTGTATTGTTCTGTGAGTGTATTGTTCTGTGAGTGTATTGGTCAGTGAGTGTATTGTTCTGTGAGTGTATTGTTCTGTGAGTGTTTTGTTCTGTGAGTGTATTGTTCTGTGAGTGTATTGTTCTGTGAGTGTATTGGTCAGTGGGTGTATTGTTCTGTGAGTGAATTGTTCTGTGAGTGTATTGATCAGTGAGTGTTTTGTTCTGTGAGTGTATTGTTCCGTGAGTGTATTGTTCTGTGAGTGTATTGTTCTGTGAGTGTATTGGTCAGTGAGTGTATTGTTCTGTGAGTGTATTGTTCTGTGAGTGTATTGTTCTGTGAGTGTATTGTTCTGTGAGTGTATTGTTCTGTGAGTGTATTGTTCTGTGAGTGTATTGGTCAGTGAGTGTATTGTTCTGTGAGTGTATTAGTCAGTGAGTGTATTGTTCTGTGAGTGTATTGTTCTGTGAGTGTATTGATCAGTGAGTGTTTTGTTCTGTGAGTGTATTGTTCTGTGAGTGTATTGTTATGTGAGTGTATTGTTCTGTGAGTGTATTGTTCTGTGAGTGTATTGGTCAGTGAGTGTATTGTTCTGTGAGTGTATTGTTCTGTGAGTGTATTGATCAGTGAGTGTTTTGTTCTGTGAGTGTATTGTTCCGTGAGTGTATTGTTCTGTTCTGTGAGTGTATTGTTCTGTGAGTGTGTTGGTCTGTGAGTGTATTGTTCCGTGAGTGTATTGTTCTGTGAGTGTATTGTTCTGTGAGTGTATTGTTCCGTGAGTGTATTGTTCCGTGAGTGTATTGTTCTGTGAGTGTATTGTTCTGTGAGTGTACTGTTCTGTGAGTGTACTGTTCTGTGAGTGTATTGTTCTGTGAGTGTACTGTTCTGTGAGTGTACCGGTGATGTGTTCCCAGGTACCTTCCAGCAGGAGGAGACGCGGGTCGTGTACGGCCTCGTCCACCCTCTGTCCACCTGGGAACCCATCACTGCCCAGCTGTGTCAGCTGAACCACATCATTACAACAGCATGGAGGATCGAGGGACTTGGGAACAAGCTGTCCGTCGTTTTTAAAGGCCCTGGATGGGAACCCGGCAAGCCCCGTCTGGGATGTAAGGAAGATTTGCCTCAGGTAATGCCAGCTGGAATAATGGTGTGTTCTATCCTCATACAGTGTGTTACAAATTGTCCTTCTGTTGTTGAATAATCATTGTAAAGTGCATGTTACAATTCGTGACATTTCTATTCTGTAACAAATGTTATATTTGGGATGACACTTTCTTAGTAAAGTACAGATTCTAGTACTTTCTTTTTTGTGCCTCACTCTTGGAGTGCGGGCTCAAATTCCACATGGGATTGTGTATTCATAGCTTTCGGCCATGGGAGCCATGCCAATTTACACTTGTCAGAGGGGTTCATAAAGTACGTGATTTAGACTACCAGTTGTCAGACTTTCACTTTTGTGGAAGCCTTGGTGGCTGAGTGGGTTGGAGCGTGGTTTTGAAATCCTGTATGGGACTCAACCCCAAAAAGTACTTTACTAAGAAAGAGTTATACCAAATATAGCATTTGTTACATTTGACCACTTTTTAATGGGATTGTGTATTCATTTCTATTCTGGTAAGAGATATAGTTAATGTTGAGAGTGTCAGTGGTTGTGTTTCAACATTCTATTGTTAAAATCCCCATCATCTGCATTTTGACATCAGTCAGATTTGGGAAAAAAAGTGAAATGTACGGCATCTTGCAGCCTGGCCCTCTATGTTAATGACATCAACCTGAAAATAAACAGAGCCAGGTCAACCTGAGGTTAAAGATGTGAAGAATAAATCATGCATAGCACAATTGTTTAAAATGATGGTTCTTTTCTCTAGAAAGGACATTTGCCATAGCATGAAAAGATACATTGCCCATGGTTTAATGAAGTAAACATGTGTTTGGCAAGATGACCCTGATAGCATCCTCTCTGTGTTCCTTGTAGGTGGAGTCCCCAGTGAGGAAGTATGACCGTAGTGTGCCGGTCAGTGTCAGTGCCTACGTGTGGACGCACTTCACCCTAATCCTTGTGGGCTACCTCTATCTTTCTGTACACAGACAGGTATGCAACACCCCCATCTTTCTGTACACAGACAGGTATGCAACACCCCCATCTTTCTGTACACAGACAGGTATGCAACCGCCCCCATCTTTCTGTACACAGACAGGTATGCAACACCCCCATCTTTCTGTACACAGACAGGTATGCAACACCTCCATGTTTCTGTACACAGACAGGTATGCAACACCCCCATCTTTCTGTACACAGACAGGTATGCAACACCTCAACCTTGTGGGCTACCCCCATCTTTCTGTACACAGACAGGTCACACGTAGTCCTTGTGGGCTACCTCCATGTTTCTGTACACAGACAGGTATGCAACACCTCCATGTTTCTGTACACAGACTGGTATGCAACACCTCCATCTTTCTGTACACAGACAGGTAAAACGTAGTCCTTGTGGGCTACCCCCATGTTTCTGTACTCAGACAGGTATGCAACACCTCCATGTTTCTGTACACAGACAGGTATGCAACACCTCAACTTTTCTGTACACAGACAGGTATGCAACACCCCCATGTTTCTGTACACAGACAGGTATGCAACACCTCAATCTTTCTGTACACAGACAGGTATGCAACACCTCCATGTTTCTGTACACAGACAGGTAAGCAACACCTCAATCTTTCTGTACACAGACTGGTATGCAACCGCCCCCATGTTTCTGTACACAGACAGGTATGCAACACCTCCATGTTTCTGTACACAGACAGGTATGCAACACCTCAATTTTTCTGTACACAGACAGGTATGCAACACCCCAATGTTTCTGTACGCAGACAGGTATGCAACACCTCAATCTTTCTGTACACAGACTGGTATGCAACACCCCCATCTTTCTGTACACAGACAGGTAAGCAACACCTCAATCTTTCTGTACACAGACAGGTAAAACGTAGTCCTTGTGGGCTACCCCCATGTTTCTGTACTCAGACAGGTATGCAACACCTCCATGTTTCTGTACACAGACAGGTATGCAACACCTCCATGTTTCTGTACACAGACAGGTATGCAACACCTCCATGTTTCTGTACACAGACAGGTATGCAACACCTCAATTTTTCTGTACACAGACAGGTATGCAACACCCCCATGTTTCTGTACACAGACAGGTATGCAACACCTCAATCTTTCTGTACACAGACAGGTATGCAACACCTCCGTGTTTCTGTACACAGACAGGTAAGCAACACCTCAATCTTTCTGTACACAGACTGGTATGCAACCGCCCCCATGTTTCTGTACACAGACAGGTATGCAACACCTCCATGTTTCTGTACACAGACAGGTATGCAACACCCCAATGTTTCTGTACGCAGACAGGTATGCAACACCTCAATCTTTCTGTACACAGACTGGTATGCAACACCCCCATCTTTCTGTACACAGACAGGTATGCAACACCTCAATCTTTCTGTACACAGACTGGTATGCAACCGCCCCCATATTTCTGTACACAGACAGGTCACATGTAGTCCTTGTGGGCTACCCCCATCTTTCTGTACACAGACAGGTCACACGTAGTCCTTGTGGGCTACCCCCATCTTTCTGTACACAGACAGGAATGCAACACCTCAACCTTGCCAGTATGATATTGCACAGCGTCTGTGTCCTTCATTTTTCTGAATGAACTTAGTTATTTGAATGTTCAAATGAGCGTCACATACTGAAATAAACTCAAACACAGATTAAGTTTATTCCCCCCCTTCAGATATGTTTAAAACATGACTTTTTTGTCTCTGTGATAGTGTGTAGTATGCACCCCTACCTGCCTGTATGCAGTGCTGAGTCTTGTGTTGCAGGACTTCAGTACAGTGATGGTGCTGGCCAGTGTGCTGTACGTATGCTTCTCCCTGTCTACCTTCGGTCTGCTGTATGACAACTGGTGAGTAGTTTAGTATCACTCTGTCACTCACATCAGGGGAGGTAACTACATCACTCTGTCACTCACATCAGGGGAGGTAACTACATCACTCTGTCACTCAAGCTCCTCACAGCGATAGTACGTTCCCGGAGCTCTTTATACTATCGCTGCCACCAGTCAAAACTCCCCACTGTGAATAGGTGGCCACAACCATGCTTGGAGTTGAACTCGCAACCGAATGACCGTTATGTTTACAAACAAGTGACGACTGTCGTGAAGCCGAATACACTTGTCGCTGCTAAATTACTTTCTTCGTTTGTCAATTTGAATTTCTGTTTCATTAAAACTATCGTGTTATTGATATAGTAAGAATGTAAGGGAGAAGTTGGTTGATTTTCCGTTAGTCTGCAATCTCGAACCAATCTGATTATCAAAACAACAAAGTAAATTCATCTGGAATACATGGTCAGTCGTAAACCTTTTCAAATTGAAATATGATGGCATTCCCAAAGACATAAACAAAAGTATAAATGTTACTACATATGGGGTGGGAGGGCAAATTTCAAGATTCTTGTAATGGCCGCGCCCACACTGGTGGCAGCGATGTTACCGAGAGTGTAACGAAGGTGTCACGCCCTGGGAAGGAGCTTGTCTGTCACTCACATCAGGGGAGGTAACTAGGGCTGGGATGAGTCCAAATTTACTACCCGGGTACCCACCCCACTATAACCAGACCCTACCCGGGTACCCACTGTAGGTCTCAGGAGATGTCTAAAAATGTCTGATTGGGGACATTTTTAGAATAGCCCTGGCAAAACGTATCGAGATACATGTATTAAACAGTCTGGTCATTCATACACTTGAATTACGTTAAATCTTTATTCAACCATATGAAAAAAACAGAAGGAAAGGGTTCTGGGTAGTTCTGTGGGTACCCGGGTCCTAATCAGTACCCACCTGACCCGGGCATCCGAGTTACTCGTCCCAGCCCTAGAGGTAACTACATCACTCTGTCACTCACATCAGGGGAGGTAACTACATCACTGTGTCACTCACATCAGGGGAGGTAACAAAATCACTCTGTCACTCACATCAGGGGAGGTAAATACAGGTAACTGCTCGGTGATTACGTGACAAAAGACACACACCGAAGGACAAAATGGCTACTGTAAAACCCATTAGGGATATCATTGTGAGAGTTCAATTTGTAGACCAAATCAACACCCCAAAGACAGAGAATAGCCACCTTTGTTATTCTCTCAGTTGAAATGTCCAAAGTTCGTGGCTTCCAGCAGTTCATCAATTCATTATACACATGAGTGGGAGATGTTTATAACGGATAACTATCTATTCTTGTATGTTGGATATTTCACTGACACTGACACTGTATTCCCTCTGGTTAACCTTGGCTGATGCTGACTTTATTGCTCTCCTCAGTGTTTGTGCCGTGTGTTAGCATGGACATTACCTCTGTAAATATGGAACTCTTTCAATGCTAGAAAGATAAACAGCATCATCAGATAGGAGGCAAACAATATGAGATTTTATGTCACTTCAAACAATCTGGCTATTAAGGATTCCCAAACAGTGCCTTGGTATTAAGGATTCCCAAACAGTGCCTTGCTATTAAGGATTCCCAAATAATGCCTTGGTATAAAGGATTCCCAAACAGTGCCTTGCTAATAAGGATTCCCAAACAGTGCCTTGCTTTTAGGATTCCCAAACAGTGCCTTGCTATCAAGGATTCCCAAACAGTGCCTTGCTATTGAGGATTCCCAAACAGTGCCTTGCTATTGAGGATTTCCAAACAGTGCCTTGCTATTGAGGATTACCAAACAGTGCCTTGCTATTTAGGATTCCCAAATAATGCCTTGCTGTTAAGGATTCCCAAATAATGCCTTGCTATTGAGGATTCCCAAACAGTGCCTTGGTATTAAAGATTCCCAAACAGTGCCTTGCTGTTAAGGATTCCCAAATAATGCCTTGCTATTGAGGATTCCCAGACCGTGCCTTGCTATTGAGGATTCCCAAACAGTGCCTTGGTATTAAAGATTCCCAAACAGTGCCTTGCTGTTAAGGATTCCCAAATAATGCCTTGCTATTGAGGATTCCCCAACCGTGCCTTGCTATTGAGGATCCCCAAACAGTGCCTTGCTATTGAGGATTTCCAAACAGTGCTTTGGTATTAAGGATTCCCAAATAATTCCTTGCTGTTAAGGATTCCCCCATAATGCCTTACTATTAAGGATTCCCAAACAGTGCCTTGCTATTAAGGATACCCAAATAATGCCTTGCTGTTAAAGATTCCCAAATAATGCCTTGCTGTTAAGGATTCCCAAATAATGCCTTGCTATTGAGGATTCCCAAATAATGCCTTGCTATTGAGGATTCCCAAACAGTGCCTTGCTATTGAGGATTCCCAAACAGTGCCTTGCCATTAAGGACACACTCTAAATGCTATGAATGCAGTGCTGTTATGACTCTACTCATGCCAGATGTTATAACTCCCCCATATATGCCATGCTATTAAAGGCCTAGTGTTGTCCTGCTCTGTTCCAGGAAGTTCTCGCCAGTCATGGAGCTGGTCAGATGTGCGGTCTTCATCATGGCCTGTGAAGTGATGGACATGCCACGGTATCTGGTGTTGTCTCCCCTGTCTGCCCTGTATGTGGTGTACATGGGTTCATCTCTCCTGTGGGGCGGCCTCGCCTTACAACGGTGGCGCTTCACAGTCAAGGGACATGTACACTGAGCCATGGATGTCCTCATACAATACTCTCACCATCTAGTATTTCCAACCAGCGTCTTGGTCTTGTACTCATTCCATAGAGACATTCCACAGAGTGTCATAAGATAAAAAACCTGCTCCTGCAAATTACTTAAATTTGTGATAGTTTCAAAGAGTGCCGTCAGAAAATATCCTGCGATTGCAAATGACTTACATTTCTCTTCTTATTTTTGAACCCAGCCTGGATGCCATCATTCATTTAGTAATGTCCTCTTTGCTTTGTGGTCCATGGATTGTGTGGTATTTTGTCTTAGCATCAGACCCAATCTGAGACTGTCAGGTCACAAAATTTATGGCATTAAGCTAGATATTCTTGCGTCAAAGTTAGATGTGTCCTACTTGCATTTTAACAAGACCTCTGTGTATGATGTTGAATGTTTAACACATGTATGTAGCTGATTGAGCTGTATAAATTATGTTAAATGTTTAACACATGTATGTAGCTGATTGAGCTGTATGAATTATGTTGAATGTTTTATACATGTATGTAGCTGATTGAGCTGTATGAATTATGTTGAATGTTTAACACATGTATGTAGCTGATTGAGCTGTATAAATTATGTTAAATGTTTAACACATGTATGTAGCTGATTGAGCTGTATGAATTATGTTGAATGTTTTATACATGTATGTAGCTGATTGAGCTGTATGAATTATGTTGAATGTTTAACACATGTATGTAGCTGATTGAGCTGTATGAATTATGTTGAATGTTTAATACATGTATGTAGCTGATTGAGCTGTATGAATTATGTTGAATGTTTTATACATGTATGTAGCTGATTGAGCTGTATGAATTATGTTGAATGTTTTATACATGTATGTAGCTGATTGAGCTGTATGAATTATGTTGAATGTTTAACACATGTATGTACATGTAGCTGATTGAGCTGTATGAATTATGTTAAATGTTTAACACATGTATGTACATGTAGCTGATTGAGCTGTATGAATTATGTTAAGTTTTTTATACATGTTTATATGAAGGATATGAATGGTTTAAGCCTATCATCCATAGAACTGTTTTTGTGGGCTTGAAGCATATTTCAACACTTGTAGTCAGATACATTTATTCCATCTCTTCCCCAGGTCACTTATCCCTGTTTTGTTGAAGGACAAATCCTGGTGTGTCAGCCAGCCCTCATAGCAGCAACCAGTGAATTTTTGGTCCTGGTTAAATCTCTGACCATGCAAGTGTTTCTTGTCAAGTTTGAAAAGTCATATCTGGTGAATACGGTGGATGGGATAGAAGTATTTGTTATATACTTCAGTGTGAAAGACTGAGTTTTCTGAATTTGAGAAGTGAAATGATATCTTCATTGCAGTGAACATGACACTTGATATTTCACTGCAGTGAACATAACACTTTGCCGGAAATATTGTCACACAAGAGTTACCTCCCCGCAAATTGTCTCCCTTTTTCATATATGTCTGGCCCGTGCAGTTACTTTTTACATTAGCTCCATATTGACAAGGCAAAATAATGCCAGATAGTCATGCATGGAGTTAATATCGCTTCTTAAACTTTGTTATTCTCTTGAAAATGTTTCTTGTAAATTTCTCATTTAACTCTTCACTCGAGACTGTTCATTTTGCAAAGCGTCATTTTTGTTACTTGACCAGCGTGTATTCTTTCATTTCCAACAACTGTCTCATAGATTTAAAAATATGTTTTGTTTAAGTAGATTTTGTATATGATCCAAATATATGATAAAGACTTTCCATGACCCTAAATACTTTGTGTTACTTTTATAACTTTTCCTGCTTGTTTTTTTTAGATTTGGTAAACACGGAACTTCTTTTTAAGGGGCAATTACAAGCGGTGATGAAATGTTCTTGTGTGTTAGGTAGAGAGAATTTACATTTAAAGGTGTTCATTTGTACTGAAAAGAAATAGATTTCCAGTAGAAATCTACAGAAAAAATATGTGATACACATGAAGTATCCCTGTGTATTTGCACCCCCTAGCAGCAGTTGCAACATGACCCCCCCCCCCCCCCCCCAGCAGCAACTGCAACATGGCCCCCAGCAGCAATTGCAACATGACCACCCAGCAGCTATTGCAACATGACCCCCAGCAGCTATTGCAACATGACCCCCAGCAGCAATTGCAACATGACCCCCCAGCAGCAATTGCAACATCCCCCCCCCCCCCCCCCCAGCAGCAGCAATTGCAACATGGCTGGTGTGAACTGGGGAATTTTCCTGGTGGAGAAGAACAACACCTTGAAGTTTGTAGCACCACTTCTCTTGACCTTTTCAATACCTTGACATAATATTCACAATTCAGGTTGAGATAATCAGTGCATGTTATGCCTTTGCTGTCCAAAAGAAGGTGACAACATCTTCTTAGTGGATCTGGTTGCTTCAAATGTCTTGGTTTTGTGGAGACCCTGAGTCTCTCCGGGATATGGACTTATGTTTCCTCTGGGGATCAAGTGATGGGTCCAGGTCTCACCACCTGCCACTAGATGAAATAATGTGGGTTGCAGTTATCTCTGGCTAACAGGGCATTAGAGGTGGTGCCCTTGTAGCCTTCATTTTATACGATAGCATTCGAGGAACCAATCCGGCAAAAATCTTTGATATATGTAGATGTTCATTGAGCATTGCTTTTATTGACCCATCCCTCTAACTCATGGTATCCCATAAGCCTAGTGTTCAGTACTAGTGGACAATATCAATGTTTTCTTTTGTGGTGCTGGTCATGGGTTGATCAGAGCAGATATCATACTTCGAAGATGACATTCCTTTACCCATTGGCACTATAAGCAGAATGCAACCGTTCATTTATATTCTTTGGTTGATTGACCCTCTAGGCTTAAAACAACATTGTGACTGCTCTATGCACAGTTTTGTGTCTTTTAATGCTGAGGAGGTGATAACAGCCAAGATGTGCCAATAGAGTTAAAGGATTCATACATACGTGTATAAAGCTGACTCACCTGTTAAAATAAATTAAGTTACATATTTTATACATGTGTGAATGATTTCGTATGTGTTAGATAGATGTATAGATATTATATATGGAGGTCCATATCAAGCACTTTCCAATGCAGTTTTTGATGATAATAAATAACAGTCTTTCATTTATGTTTTATGTCCATTTGGTTTGTGAACTGTTAATAAAAATAATTTATTAATATATACATTTTACTTGTTTGTTTATTATGTTCTGGTTATCTGGGATGGGGTGTGTGTGTGTGTGTGTGGGGGGGGGGTTGATACAGGGATTTGATGGGAGCCTCGTGTTCTAGCGGTAGAGTGGCCCACCGGAGAACTGATCGGGGGTTCGATCCCCGGCCGCTTCATACCAAAATATGTTAACAGATGGTACTTGTTGTACCCTGTCTGGACCCCAGCATTTAGGGGCTTAAACAATGACTAGCCGGCTCGGAGTCAGTAAAATGTGTCTGAATGGGGTATTCATGTTAAACTGCGGCATGGTATCTCAGTTGGCAAGCACTATCAAACCGAGCATTAGTCCGAACTAATACAAGCAGACACACACGCACGCACACAATAACACACACACACACGTGCATATGAGTGCAATAATCTTGGATGCGACTTTAAACCCATTTCGTAAAAATTAAATTTCTAAATTGGAATATGGAGGCGAGAGCCAGTCACAATTTTGGCAAAAGGACATTTTGGAAAAAACCATCCTCCGACGCAGCCATGTAAGAAGTATTTGGAATTGGCAATTATTTGAATGAAGTCGAATATCCCGACCAAACTTTTATTACACAAGACTCTCAAGTGATACTATTGCCGCAAACAATGTATTTGTCACATAATTCACCCCTGATTTCTCTCCTGCATATTCTCGCACACATCTTCCCGAGGCAAGTGAGTTAACTGACAATAAAAGGCCAGTGGAAACTGGACTTTTATAGTCAGTTAACTGGCCTTTTATTGTCAGTTAACTCACTTGCCTCGGGAAGATGATTCTCACAGTGAATAAGAAGTTACGTCCGTCAATAGCTTGCATATATACTTGATCCATTCATCCTAACTCTCTCATCCAACATGTCGGTTTCTTTTCTTACACACTGTGTTCTTGATGGGGTTTCTTCAATCGAATTATTGCTCAAAATGTTATCTGATCCACTTTCGGTAGACTCTTTTCCGTACCATATCTTCATGTTGGGTTGGTTATGTGGTGCAATTAGTTTGCCTTTGTCTTCTAACCTATAAACTCTCTAGGGGGCACGGGTGGCCCAGTCGTCTAAACGTAACCTTTCCACCTGGCGTACCTATTTTCCCCACAGATATTTATTTACTGATCCAACTCAGGCATCACGTAAAAGTAAAAGAATAATTCACAACAGGTGCGTCTGGTTTATTGTCGTTTAGACAGTGCTACGGTAGCCAACCATGGCTCCACGAATTCAGTCGGTGCGATCTTAGACCGTTTTGTTTATCATGCATTTCAAAGTGCTGTTGTATTTTTCAATTATTCCATAGGCCTGTGGGTAGCAAGGACTTGTGACAATGCTTAATCCCACATTTATGGCAGAACTGATGTAAGTCCAGCTGTTAAACTCGCCACACTGATCAGCAAGTATCTCCTTCATGACAGCAAACCTACACACACTGTTGCAAGCTTGCGACAATCTCCTCTGACCGAGCTTGTATACAAACCTACACACACTGTTGTAAGCTTACGACAATCTCCTCAGACCGAGCTGGTATACAAACCTACACACACTGTTGCAAGCTTGCGACAATCTCCTCTGACCGTGTTAGGTATACAAACCTACACACACTGTTGCAAGCTTGCGACAATCTCCTCTGACCGAGCTTGTATACAAACCTACACACACTGTTGTAAGCTTACGACAATCTCCTCAGACCGAGCTGGTATACAAACCTACACACACTGTTGCAAGCTTGCGACAATCTCCTCTGACCGAGCTTGTATACAAACCTACACACACTGTTGTAAGCTTACGACAATCTCCTCAGACCGAGCTGGTATACAAACCTACACACACTGTTGCAAGCTTGCGACAATCTCCTCTGACCGTGTTAGGTATACAAACCTACACACACTGTTGCAAGCTTGCGACAATCTCCTCTGACCGTGTTAGGTAAACAAACCTACACACACTGTTGCAAGCTTGCGACAATCACCTCAGACCATGTTTGGTATACAACCCTACACACACTGTTGCAAGCTTGCGACAATCTCCTCTGACCGTGTTTGGTATACAAACCTACACACACTGTTGCAAGTGTAACAGTGCTAAAATTGCTATTTTATTCAACTTTTTGTGAAATTCGCCTTCAATTCATAAGTTGTCGGTTAACCATTTAAGACATGTTGGTACATACTAGCGATAAGAAATTGCATAACAACATCTGGCACTTCAGATTTACGCCGCCACAATCAAGTCGGTGGGCGAGACTTTAATTACATGTTGAATAACAACTGGTAGTGGTCAGCGCGTTCGGCACTTACCAGTGTACCGTTATCAGCTATTTAGAGTGGTTTTATAATGCAACAACGTTAAATGCGTCAATATGCATTAACATGATCCAGTTGCTCGATATAATTTACTTTATGTATATTTGTTTCCGTTTTTATGCCTGATAAATACGGTTCCAGAATATAACTTATATCCGATGTTCATCCATCAAATATATTCTTTATATACAAAACCAGATCAGTGCAAGTACAGCAACGTATATTATTCTTATCTGTAGCCCAAAATATATTTCTTATTAGGTAACTACTTTGTGAGGGCATAGCACTAGACCACAATACTCCAACGTAACTTTTGTTCTAGATAAATGCACGCACTTTAATCAATGCCTGATAAATTTATGTTTTTCAATTTATACATATTATTTCCATTCGGTAAGATGAATGGACGCTGTATAGAATATCTCAGATACTATACTTTTAGCATAATTTGGACGCTACAGATAACGTTGTAGTTTTATGTTGTAGAATAGTTATAATGAAACAGGCTTTCCTATAGCAGTGTTTATATCCATTTCTAAATTACAGTTCACAAGCAATTTCTCTGTTTGGCGAAATCTCCAATAAGGTTCATAAACATTCACAACAGAATATACGTTCACTAATGATCAGTTTTAATTCATATATATTTCAAGTTTCAAATACGGTATTCATTCATGTGTGATTTGTATAAGTTCGGCCCGCATAGCGCGGCATGCACAGGCGGCGGTGTCTTATTACTGTTACAATTCTGTTTCCGAGAATGATTAATGCGCATACCAAAAGTTTCTCGTGCAGCATTGGCGAGCATGTGCGCTAGCTCATCGGCTTACCTATTCATGACGGTTACAGGCCGGCAAAGCCACATTTCGAAAATAGATAGCCCAAATTGATGTGGCTCTCGCGGCAATGGTTATGGTTGCGTGATTGTATAATGTGGCTCTCGCGGCTATGCTGTCAAAACATGCTTTGTGATTCTAACAGGTTACTGTATATAACAAAACAAGTCTTGTTTTCTCATTTTTTATTCAACATATCCATCAAAACTTTACATTGATGAATATGAATAGCATATGAATATCATAATGGATTTAATGTCATTACTGCAGATGAAGGAGGTCGCCCACGTGGTCAGCATATTCCATCTCACTCAGGTGTTGGTTCAGGAGCTGGATCTTGAGGGACGCAATACGTGCATCGATTGCCTTGTACTTCTTTCTTCGTGAAGGTTCTGACCACTGGTGAGAGAGTCTCAGGACTGCAA